TTAATGAGCCTTGCCATTCTTAGCACCACACTACAACTCGTCAAAGAGACAAGTGAAGTCGAAACTCTGGCTAGTCACCTATTCCATATATTCGTATCATTTCTTCAATATCACAATTTCTTACTTGTTTAACTAGACCCATTTAAAATCTATTCCAAGTCCCCGCTGGTTTCCACATCCCTCACACTATGCAAGGAGTGCTGATCCAAGGTTGCGGTCTGTTCCGCAATCCTCTTTCTTCGGGTTCTATCAGAGTCCCCTATTGCTCCGTAGGATCCTTCCCTTATCTGCCTGTTTCAATGATTTCAGCCCATCGCTGCCACCGTATCCGTGCTACTCAAGGCGTTTTGTTCTACACTCTGCCTCAACTCTTTGCTAGCACATATACACCAGCCTCGCTGAGCAAGCTTCTAAAGTCTGGATTCTTAATTGGCATGGCAACCTAATTTGACGTTGCACATCTCCTTATCGCTGGGGCACATGTGCACCGAGTAAATCTCGTGGTCAAGCCTTTACTTCATGGACCACGTCTATAAGCAAACTTGTCTACCAATAGCCAACTGGGAATGCCCGCTACTGTTTCTCTCGCTCTTCTACGACATTCTAAGGCGTGCCAACCCCCAAATGGGAGGTTTCTACTTGATTTAAATAGGCTCACTGCAGACATCTTCTCTTGGTCTCCGATTGTTCCTCTCTGGTCTCCTTGTAACTCCTTTTACTAAAATTAAAAGTATTACATGTTTCCAGTCGTCTTCTTTTTGTCGATATTGCTGTTGCCTGATGTTCTCTGAGTTTTTTTGGTCAGTATGTAAAATTTTCTCTAATCCTGCTTTCTTCAAGTCTCCTGTTCATTAGGTTACTTTCATTCAGGATATCAATGGCTTCTCGATTCTAACGTTTTCTTCTATTTCCACCATATGCAGCCAACCTTTCTGAAGATTTCCATTTGATTTAGTGTCCCGTTGGTGCAATGTGTTACGCTATTTCGGATCTTTTAGTGTCCATGTTTCTGCAGAGCCTTTGATGTTTTTTGATTCATAGGCTAATTGTTCTTCCTGAATCACCAATAGACTTATGCTCACAGTTTCCGCATTTGATGCTATAGACTCCCGAGCAATCCAGTTTGTCAACCTTCTCGTCTTGCGTCGACAGGCTTGTCAAGAGCATTTTCTTTTCATTTGTTATCACCTTCATATTCTTTTTTCGTAGCAACGGTCGCAATTTATGGTTCAGTTCACAGGAAGGCAGGCATATCACTTTTCTCGTCTTCCTTATTTCTGATCTTATTTTGATAAAATCCCAGTTAAAATCTGCTCATTTTTTTACCTATATTTCTTCCTATAAATTCACTGGGATACCCGTTACTAAGGCAAATCCGAGTCAGTTTCTCCAACTCCTCGTTCCAGAACTCAGTCTCCGTTAGTCGTAAGTTTCTGATGATCATACTCCTCATTATTCCGATCTTCAGTCTGCAGTTGTGATGAGACTGGAAATTGAGGATTATTCCCGATGTGATTTCTTTCTGAATAGTCTCCTCTTGAGTATCTCGTTGGAGCGAATGACCTCAATATCCAGGAATGGTAGTCGTTTATCCTCCATCTCCATTGTAA